TTTGCCAGGTGACAGAGGGGGGCCTGAGGGGCCGATAGGTGGAATTTGCGATAGGTCCTCCTTATACGGAGGACCTATCAGAGCGGAGGACCTATCGACTCTAAAAAGCCCATGAGTGGAGGACCGATCCATCAGAATCTACATATATATATATACATACTTGCATATATATATATATATATATATATATATATGCAAGTATGTATATATATATATATATATATATATATATATATATTTGTATGATCAACGTTACTGGACCAACTATAGCTTACAGACAACCTTAGACCATATAGAATTAACAGGAATAATTAAGTATATAGAGTTGAAACATTACGTATCAAGTTATAACACTTCAAGCACCTTCAGAGGGGAAACTTTTTTTTCTAATACAAATCTTCCTATAATACGAGAACGTTATGAAACCAAGCATAAGTCTTGAGACCATTTTACATACAAAATGCCATAGCATCTAGACGTTGTCGTACGATACAAGGTTGCCAATTTTGGAGCGTCATCTGAGAAATTTTGGCGCGAAGACGGCGGGCAAGTGAGGTTTCTTTCGTAAGTGCCTGAACGTATTCCATTCGTATATCGCTCTCAGAATGAGTAAACGTACGAGGTTGATTTTAGAGTTAGTGCAGAATCGGAAAAATGAAGGTAAGTAAATATTTCATATCGGTTAATCTTAAGGAGGTTCATCATGTTTTACAAAGTGCTTATAATAAAAAATATTACGTTACCTTATTTTACACTCCACACGGTTAAATTCAATATTGCCCATAACTTCTTAACTATTGTGCTTTGGCCAAAGTGTATAAAGCAATTTCGACTTAAAATAGATCAAGGAATGTAGTCTTAAGCTATGTCCATCGAGTCACGGGACATCCTGTATCTTATTTTAGTTTTAGTTGAATATGTTTCAAGGGAGGATCTAATCGGTATTCTCCATACCACATACCTCCAGTTTTTTCTTATGATTTTATTGTAGAACCCCAGACCGGCTGGTTCTGTTTCAGCACCTGTGAATTATACTGTTAATTCACCCATAAGGCAAATAACATAGAGATTATGAGGAATTTTCACGTTTTGGATTCGTCAACAAAGCTCATTCGAGTATTGCTTATTAATCAATTTATGAGCTTACTGCACCTGAAGCAGTCAAAAAACAAAGAAGAAATGTCATATCAATTGAAAAATCACTTTCAATTAACATCACATTCTGTACTTTGGAAAAGGCCGCCGTGGCGACCGAAGCGCTAGTAAAGTCTTCTGGAGTAAACATATATGGTTTGATTATTTGGCCGGATCGACGAGATGAGCCAATACGGTGCTTAATTTGCAAACTCTGTGGGGTGGATATACTAAGAAATGATAATAAAGTCTCGAAATATGAGGGTTTCTCTACAGACACAGGTACCCTGAACTTATTTTTCTAGCAATCAGATTTTTCTGTAAATGGTGAGTCATAGAAAACCTCTAGCCACTTGAACAAATCTGCGTAGAAAAGCTGATCTATAGTGTATTTACACCCAAGATAGAATGGATGCGTGATTGCCAAAAGCAAGGACGGCGTACAGGGCCGCACTCAGGGCTAGCTCCGAATGATGGAGTACCACCAACGTGTTGTAAAACAAAGATGACAGTATTTAACAGAAACTTAACAAATTACTCAAATACACTTAACAACAACAATAGCAACAACCAAGCAAGGTGAATACGAAAACACGAGCACGCAGTGATACACGCGACGGACGGTGGCCTGAGTGCAACTCTGCCTGCCCTGCCCCTGCCCCGCGCATTATTCCGCCAGGCGACCGCTTGAAATTTAATGGCGAGTTGACCAATAAGAGGCGTTGTCCCCACCTGTTACCGAGAGATCACGCCCTAACTGTTATTATTTAAATCTCATCTTGAATTTGGATTCAGTTTAGAATGGCCAATCTTCAACGCAGATTTAACCGGCAATGCATTCTAGTTCTGCATATTTTTAATGAAGGCTGTCATGATGCTTTTGGAATACTCGAGAGAAAAAAACTGTTGAGTACCCTGTAAGTGGAAAACGCAGCGTCTTTCCATACTCATTCCTGAAAATTGCCTGAGATCGATCCAGTGACACTTCTTTATCTTTCCTGACAAAAAACGCTTGTAGGCGACGAATAATGTACAGTTTTGGTATCTACTGGGAAATTTTACTTGATGCTAGTTTTGGATTTAATATGTAACATCGAATTATAAGCATATTTCCTGAAATTATATATGATTTTATCAAATTATATTGGTCAAATCTGATCACTTCGGCACATCTTTAACATGAGCTTCCCAGAACTTGGTTAGAAGTATATTTAGATTTATATATTTATCCCTTGATTGGCTTTTATTAATATACGCTGATAACATAATCTCATTTAAGGCTAACCGAAGATGTCTATCAAACCGCAAAAGTACCCAACGTGCTTTTACTAATGAAAAATGGCAAAGGCTCAGAATTTAAAGGGAAGAGCTTAGCAGAAATCGAAGTGGGAGATGACATCAAAGATGACAAAAATGTTGAAGAAGAAAATGTTGAAGGAGAAAACGTTGAAGAAGAAAATGTTGAATGAGAAAATGTTGAAAATAATATGGAATCCCCTACAACAAAAGATGTGTGTGAGAGGAAAGATGAAGAAGAGAGTGAAATCTAGGAACAAGAAAAAGAAAGATAACCGTAAGCGTTGGGAACATAAGGACAAGCAATTAGTTTTGAAGCATTTCAAAAACCATGTTAAGAACAAAGAATGCCTGGACTTCTTTGATGAGAACCCCATATTCTCTCCATCGGACTGGACTCGAATTAAAACTCTTGTTTTCAATACGTATAGGTACAAATGATACATTCTTATTTCCCATAAGACATTTATTGTGATTAGCTTCTATTCTCAAGAGTATTAATAAAACGACTGAAATTCCACATCGAGTACCAATTCCTTAAAACCTTGTAAATTGTGTGTACAGAAGATCCCGCATGCATCGAAAGTACCCTTAACATGCGGTGTGCGCTATTGCCAAATTCCATGTACAATAAAGTTGGTAGTATATGGCATAAAGTAAGACAGATATGCGCGCCACCACAACGGGAATCTCTTGAACTTAATCTGTATAAAGTGACAATTTGGGCCGTTTTTTCAGGCCATCTCAAAATTTCGTCTATATCATCACGCCACCTAGGTGACCACTTTTATATATGAAAACGTTACCAGACCATTTTAGTTTAGTTTAGTGGTCCTACCCAAAGACAGAGAAAGTTCAGATAAAGACCAATAAGTGGGAAGAAGAAGATTTGACCATCTATTACGGGTCAAGTGAATTGGCTCATAGGAAGATCAAGTATTGTTCAAGGCTGGCACTATACCACATCTCTCACTTTTATCACTACGATCTGCCAGAAGATGAAGTTGATAATATGACTAGCAGGAAATTGGCACGGTCATTAGTAGGGATCATATTATCCTTAGGAGATGCGCAGTCCATAATAAAAGGAGTAAATTTAAAGTCCACCCTTACATTGGCAGGGATCAATGCTGACTTTCGAAGAATTGAAGATGAAGTCATCAAGCTTCTAAGGAGTCACCATTATCATGGCCTTCTAGAGGATCTAGAAGCTACAGAAGAGTTCGCGAAAATCTTAGCAGACAAACACTTGAATGAGGAGAATGCTGAGCAATGGGTAAAAAACAGATTAAGAACATTTTCAGGATCTGTGGGCAACTCCGATATTTATGAGATCTGGGAGGATCTACGCCCTTATACAAAATACTTATGAAAATTACAATCTTTTATGTCAGCAAACTGTGCTTTGAGAAAATCTTGCTTCCTCGTTATTCTCGAGATATCATAGAAATATTCAATGACGTTTTTTTAAGAGGTGAGATCATTGAGGAGGGGAAAAAAATCCTCGTGGTTCCGATACCAAAGCCCAATAAAAACTGTCATCTAGCAGATTCTTATCGTCCTATTTCTCTCCTGTCCTGCATTCTCAAAACCTTTGAGAGGATGATAAAAAATAGGTTGGAATGGTGGCTGCGTTTTCATCACTTACCAAATCAACAGTTTGCCTTTAGAAAAGGTCTAGGTACTACCGATGCCTTAGCTGTTATTGTTGACATTCAAGGTTGGCAGCATTATTTTTAGATTTACAAGGTGCTTATGACCAGATCGACGTAACACTGCTGAGAACAAAATTGGAAATATACGGGCTCCCTCCTCATTTGTGCTACATCATAACTAACTTATATTACAATAGAGCAGTTTTTGTAAGAGATAATACAAACAAAAAAATAGGACCACGTTATAGTTTTGCTGGCCTGCCGCAAGGTGCAGTCCTCAGTCCTATCATTTTCAATATATATACACTGCTGACCTACATACAGTTAATCCAAGTTCCAAATTATGCAATACGCTGACGACATCTGCATCTATATAGAGAACCGTGCCTTATCATTCTGTACAGATATTCTGGATAGTGCCATGCATCAAGACAACCAGTGGTTCAACCAGAATGGCTTTACGCTGTCATGCGAGAAATCTAAGCTATGTTTCTTCACTCGCCATAATACCCAAATATCAGACGCTCTACACCTTTGAGGACATACGTTCACGGTGTATAATACAGTTAAATTCCTGGGCGTTACTTTAGATAAAAAACTAAATTGGAGGAGCTTCATACAGAAGATCACCGTCAGGTGCACGAAAGGCCTCAATTTCTTCCGGATGATGCTGAAAGTATGGTGGGGAGCTGACCAAACAATTGCATTGATGTTTTACCGATCATATATTAGGTCAATACTAGACTACGGAAGCATATTTTATGGCTCTGCTAGTAATACCTTATTGCATAGGCTGGACGTGGTTCAAAACACCTTTCTAAAAATATGCTTGGGCGCTATGAAAACTTCCCCCATAGAACCGATGAGAGTTGAGGCTCTTGAACCACCGCTACATCATCGAAGACAAATGCTTGCAGAGAGATTCCTGGTGAAACAAACGATTACCGACTCACAAACACTGGTAAAGTTACGCCACCTCAACGCCGAAGGTCTGACCAACAAATATTGGATGAACAAAAACTCCCCCACACTATGCAGTGCTTCCAGACAGATTCAAATAACAGCACCCAAACATCCTGATCTGATCTCTGTCCGAGAAGAAGTGCAACACCAGAATCAGAATACCAGAATACAGTGACATCCCATTGTTGAATATCCGCATTTTCAACCAGGTGTGCCTGCATTCCCCGTGGGGTACCCAGATCTTTACAGACGCATCCAAGAATCTGAACGGAACCGGATGTGCATATTATATACCCAGTACTGACACAGACACCTTTAAACTTCCCGACCAAGTATCTATTTTTTCAGCCGAAGCAGTGGCGATTATCCAAGCTCTGAAACATGCAAGCAGTAGTAACTTGAAAGAATTTACAATTTTTTCCGATAGTCTCTCCGTTCTCTCCTCCTTACAAAATTATGATTGCACAAGGACCAGGAATTGTCACATAAATCAAATAAAACATAGGATCTGCCACTTGAAAGAAAGTGGAAGCACGGTTGCATTTGTATGGGTCAAGCCACACTGTGGAATCGTATTCAACGAAAAAGTTGACCAACTCGCAAAATCAAGCATCTACACAGGATCTGTATTCCAGACACAAATTTCCAAAGAAGATTATAATATTTTATCCAAACAAATCCTGTTTAAAAGCTGGACGTTAGAATGGAAGGAATTCGGCTTTACGAACCCAACGAGGTATACTTTAATACATCCTGATATCCCAACAACGTACTGGCACAAAAATTTTAGAATTCCTCGTAAAAACATAATATCTATGATTATTAGAGCAAAACTTGGGCATGGAGCTTATCCAAAACATCTAGCTAGATTCCGTATTATTGATTCCAACTTATGTGAACACGGCAACATTGAGGGGAACTTGGATCATCTATTTTTTGGCTGTTTGAAGTTATCTCCATACTGTGATCGACTCTACCTTAATCTGATTGGCTTAGGCCTTATTTCACCATTTAATGTTCTCCACATTCTAGCTTTGAATAGACTTGATGTTACGTGTCTGATAATTGACTTTTAAAAAATCTCTGGGTTAAAATTTTAGTTTTGATTAGCTAGATATCCTCTGTGTAACTATCCTCTGTAATTTACCGACCTAACCGTGGCCTAATTGTTGTGTGTCGTATTCTGAAAATGCCTGAATGGGTCCTTAGGTGAGAAGAGTGTATCCCTGTCCAATTTCATCCTTAATTAGTTAGAGAAGTTTAAATTGTAAAAAAGGATCTGGTTAATGGGACATAGTCCTAGTGCCAATAAAAAATATATATATATTTTGATATTTCAAAAATCAGAAAAAATGATCAAGTCACTTTTTCCAATAACAAAATGCAATGTCTGATTTTTTTATTTTATTTGTAGGTTATATTAAAAGATCAAATTATAAATCAAAAAACCGCATGAATTGAACTGCTGTGGAAAAAACTTTCTTTGGCAATTATTATATATAAATTTGGTGTCAGTTTAAAACTGTATTTACCGAGAATTGATATTTTAGACTTGGTCAGTTTTAGCTTTAAGCCCACGATTATGGTGTCACAATTTTTAGGAAACAATAATCAAATTCAAGCGGATAACCAAATGGAAATGGTATTTACCATTTTGGGTTGGTATTTACCGATCCGTTCAAGCGAGTGTTTTTATCAGTTTGGTTATAAGATCCGTGACGTCATGAATCAGCTGTTATACGTCATAGTTATCACCGCAAAATTGTGGTATTTACCCAACTCAGGAGTAGTTTTATATTTCTGGTTATTATTTGAAATGTGACAAGTTAGAATTTTGCCGGGTATTGGATATTGTTATTGCACTTCAGCTTCATTTTTGGGAAACTTGATACAGGCTGACTTCAGTGTTAGCGTAAAGTGGAGCACCTTATTAGTTATACTCATTACTGTTGTTGGGAACACTTTAAATCTAGTTTCTATGCTTAAAAAAGTATCCTGTGTAGCCATATACCACAAGATTATTAAAATATGGCCATATAAACTCACTGGATGATGTCCACCTGTATACGGATTTGCTAATATCTTTTTTCATCGCTTTTCACCATTTCTGCTAAATTAATAAATGTTTTCCTTTGACATGCGGAAAACTTTAGAGAATTGACGGTTAACATAGCTACAAAGCCGTGGTTCCATCATTAAATTTTTTTTCTGAAAAAAAAAACATTTCTCTCATGAGTATTATGAAAGGTTTCTTATTTAAACTTTCTATACACCGTTGTAGACGAAAAAGCACCGATTATTAAGTGATAATAAAAATAATAAGAGATTATATACGCGCTTTTCTAAAATAAACAACTTGCAACAAAACCGCGGTTAAAACCAACGCGTTCAAGCGATTCGTGTAACTGACGTCATTAACCCGTGTGTCATCTTGAACCATATTACAACCGCGGCACATAACACAGAAATTTTGGTTATTCGCTTGGATTTGATTAATAAAAACGAGTTTTTTAAGCATTTATACTAACTTAGGGTGGCTGGTTTTCATGAAAATGAGCAATGAGTATGTAGCAATAAAAAGAGTATTCATATAATGTGATATCAGTTACACATACAGAGAACTGATGATATTTGTAGTGAAATTCGGGAACGAACCACGCCATGGGAGTATACATTTTATTAATTGTCAAGCACGTTGTGGCTATCCAAATTCATATTATGTTCCAAATAAAGCATTATATTTTACACTATTTGGATGGCTTATTTCCTCAATTTGTCGATTTGCTTAAGAATTTTTTGTTAATATTAAAATCCGAAATTCCGCATATTCATCCATTTATCAATAGCCACTCGAAGCAAAATGCACTCTAAAGAGAAAACTATCAAATAATTTTAGCATACAGGGCATGCTACAAATAGAAATTCGTTCACTTCGATTTATACCTCTGTATTTGCTTTCTGGGCGTAGGTTGCCTCTGGCGAGCCAAGAAAGATTGCCCAGTGCCTACACTCAGCACACTCAGTCTTTCGTCAATCGCCTCTCGGTGACAGCTGGAGCTCAGGCGGTAGAAGGCAGTTGTTAAGAGCTTTTCTTCTTGCTCTTTCATCAGCGGATGTCTCATGGAGCCATCTAGGTCCCCGTTTGGCTTTAGTTCTAGGTGTTGGGCTACTTCGCGAGCTTTCTCAATACCCCTGGAAAAAAAGTAATAACTAGCATCATGTATTTATTCACCAGTTTCTCATTTTGCTTTGTCTGAACATGTTGAAATAGCTAGACTATCAGCTTTTTGATACCAAGTACAGATAGCTTGGAATGAGATACCTCAAAAAGACCTAAATCACAATCACAAGCCTTTACGACTTACGAATGGCCCCAACAGATTATCAGGAACATTCAGCGATACAGCAATTGTTTTTACTTGAAAATTTAATCACGACCTGCTCTCACGTATGTCTGACTACAGAAAATTTCATTCAACTGAAATCATTTTTACTGGGTGTTATTATCCATATCCGCCAAATTTTAACCACTGTTACGAAAGAAGTTGATTTCTTAAAAAAAATGTAATAAAATTTCTACAGAAATTTTTTAAGTACAATAACAAATTGAAGAATAAATATATGTATTTTGCGTTTCATCGTCGTGATATTAGAACACGCATCAATAATTTATTGTAGCAAATGTTGTACCAAACAACTGACGAAAACAAAATACCAGGTATTTTTTGTTCTTTCATACTGATAAGAACGTGTAAATAAGGTTTAATCTATGTCGTGGGTGATCTGAATGAAGAACGGTCGATTCTTGTGAATTTAAATAAGAAAGTATTTTGCGAGTTTATGTTTTTAGTTATTTATTAATAAAAATGGCACATGTGTACACTAATGAGGAGTTAGTGGACTTTGTTTTAGAGTACGAGCGGCTTCTCGTTTGTATGCACACCGATTTCCGAATACGAGGGATGTCTTTTAAGTTTTGCATATAGAAACATAGTAGGCCGCGCGGATCGAACGTCAAAACTGAATCTTAACCTCACTCTTTAGTAAACTTAAATTCAAAGTTTCGCAACAATACGTGCAGTGTTCTCACTACAGTGAAGTGTCACCAAGTCATTAGAAAAATGTAACTCAACCGTGAACATTTTCGCGCCATAATTTATTACAACTTTCAGAGACAATTATCGCAACAAGAATGCCTTGCTGAGTTACTGTCTGTTTTCGGCAACGAAGCGCCACATCAGTCGACAATTTCCCGTTGGTATGGAGAACTCAAACGTCGACGGGTGAGTCTTAGCGACGATCCCAGGGTGGGTGCACCAAAAACGACAGTCACCCAGGAAAACGTCGATGCTGTGCGCAAACTCATCATTGAAGATAGACATGTGACTTATCGCGAGATTGAGGCCTCCTTGAAGATCTCAAAGACTTCAATTCAAAAAAATTTACATGAAGAATTAGGAGTAAGAAAATTATTTTCTCGTTGGATACCCCACCTGTTGCCTGAATAGCAGAAAGCAGGCAGGGTTAATTGGTGTCAAAAAACGCTTGACGGTTTCAATTCCGGAAACTCAAAAAATGTGTACAGCATTGTTAGTGGTGATGAATCGTGGATTTACTGTTATGAACCAGAAAATAAACCACAGCCGGCTGTTTGGGTGTTCCAAGGTGAAGAAAAGCCAACAAAAGTCATCCGTTCTCGAAGTGTTTCGAAAAAGATGGTCGCGAAATTTGTGTCAAAAGCGGGTCATATTGCAACAATTTCTCTCAATGAGCAAAGAACTGTTACTGAGGATTGGTATACCACCATTTGTTTGCCTAAAGTTATCACCGAGCTTCGAAAAATCAACCCCGAAAGAAGAATCGTCCTCCACCAAGACAAAGCAAGCTCGCACACAGCCCAAAAAACAAGGCAGTGTTTAACGGAAGAAAACGTGGAATTATTGGACCATCCTCCATATAGTCCCGATTTCTTTACTTTCCCGAAAATTAAAAACAGACTGCGTGGTCAAAGGTTTCAGTCACCAGAAGAAGCAGTTGACGCATTCAAAAATGCCGTTTTGGATCTGCCAGCAAACAAGTGGAATAAGTGCTTCGAAAATTGGTTCGAGCGCATGCAGATGTGTATTAATCTTCGTGGAGAATACTTCGAAAAACAATAAAGTCATTTAAAACTATCTACCGTGTTGTTTTATTTCCATATGAAAAACTTAAAAGAGCACCACATCACGAAACATTTAGTTCAATTGTTTTACGTGCACGTGCTAGTGGTGATTTGCGCCCCAGAGGTGGAGTGCATGGGGGTCGGGTTCGCACACAACGCGTTTTAAATGCTGAAGACGTAATTTTTGATATTGTGGAACAATATCCGGGAATAAGCACAAGGCAGTTAGCCCAACAGGTCCCAGAAGTGTCACATGCAACAGCGTGGCGCATATTACATGAGGCCCAAGTGTACCCTTATCACATTCAGCGAGTCCAGGCGTTGCTACGAGTACCTACAGTCTACCCCCTAAGAGTAATATTTTGTCAGTGGCTGTTGCAAGAAAATGCTCGAAATGCCCGTTTTACAGCTGATATTTTGGCCAACGATGAAGCTATTTTTACTCGTAATGGGATAACCAAACTTCATAATACACACGTTTGGTCCTTTGAGAATCCTCATGCAGTTGTCCAGACACACTTCCAACATCGTTTTTCTTTTAACGTGTGGGCAGGTATTGTCGATGAACGTCTAGTTGAACCGTTCATATTGCCAGATCGGATGGATGGTCAACAGTATTTGGAATTTCTTCGGAATGATTTGCCAGTCCTTCTTGATGATGTGCCATTGGCGGTCCGACTACGGATGTGGTTTCTACACGATGGGGCACCTCCGCATTTTTGTTGAGAAGTACGTGATTTTTTTAATCAGGTATGCCAATGCCAGATATGCATGGCCTCCACGGTCTCCCGATCTAAATCCTCTGGACTTCTTTTTATGGTGATACTAGAAAAACGAGGTATGCCGTACTCCAATTCAGAATATTGAAGAATTGCGTGACCGAATCACAGTGGCTGCCGATAATTTGAGCTTTCAGGCACAGCAGGAAGGAGGTGATGTATTTGAAGTAGTGCGCCGAATTTGGATTAGACGCGCCCAAGCTTGCATTGCAGTCAATGCAAACAATTTTGAACAGCTTTTATAAGTAAGTTTATTACTTTTTTTTGAGAAATCAACTTCTTTCGCAAGAGTGCGTATGTGGTTAAAATTTTGCGGATAAGTTGTGATATGTATATAGTATGTGATTTGATGATTCGTTCAGTATACAATTTAAATGGGAAAGATGAAATATGGAAAGAGGCTACACTATCTTCCATTTCATTCCAGGAAGTATCTTTGCAGAAAATATTCCCATTCGTTTTTTTTACGTAATCTTATCCAAAAGGGCTCCTTTTAAAGATTCTTCATGTTGCCAGGCTCAAAATTGCATCAAAAATTGAATTGATCATTTCATTTTTTTCGACGTGCTTTTTTCATTGAAAACGCTTCATTAAAGGTAGACGCGTATTCTGGATATACACATCATAAGTCACTACACTCCTTCCCCTTCAAGTAATACCACATAATTCATGTTCATGCAAAATCTAAGTACCGTTCTTACCACGTTTTTGCATCTACTACTCGAAGGTGGGTACTTAAATGGGTCATTTCAAAAACAGAACCAGTATCCTTGATTTGTTTCATTTTTATATTCAAGTGCAATATGTACCAAAGGACAATTTTAAATTCACTACGAAAATAAGGTTACGGACCACATTGCCCGAAATCTCTTGTTTAAAATATTTCTTGTTTCCTACCAAAACCATTGGCTCAATCCTCCTCATTTTTATGACTAAGAAAGTGCTTTAAATATACGCTAAAAATTTTAAATAGCTGTTCATGTAGATAATGTGAAGATGGAATTACATGCACAAAAACTAATTCCAATGCCAATTTTTTTGCTGATAAAATACAGTTTGCTGCCTGGTAGTAAATAAGCACGTGGGTTCTTCTACAACCGATTGTCAATTATTGAAGAAAATTAATGAAAATAATCAAATATAATCTCTATTCCAACAAGTTTGCACCCAATCATAGGACCATCAAATAATAAACACCAAGTTCTAAATGCTCTTGTTATAAAAGTTCATTTAAAACATGAATGAAACACATTATTACAGGGAATAAAAACATAAACATGAACATAAATGACAGTAAAATTGACACAAAAAACTAAATATCTAAAAACTACGGCACCATTTGCAAAAATAAAGATTACTAGTTAAGCACCGCATGCACTGCAAATATGTATGTTAAAAGAGATAGAAACACCTCGTTGCCTAGCAACCCGAGTACGCGCTCACAGATGCCATTATCGTACTCCTTCTAACACATATTGCATGCTTCTCGACGTCAGCTAAATTTGAACCTTACCATATGTTTGTTTAAAACTACTTAAAATCACCTGAATGATATCATTATTGATATCGCCTCCTTGACAATAAGTGTCAAACACATCATTTTAACAGGAGACATGACTGATATGTTGGTTCTACCCCAGCGCTGTGAAAGGTTGTATTAGAGCGAGTTGATCTCTTTGGCACCACAAAATTGATTTTAGATAATAATTCCGGGCAGTCAAGTGTACTATTAATGAGACTATCAAGCGCTGTAATGTCATTTCGTCAATTGACGACGGTAAACCAATGTATCAAAATTCCTGACCTGAAGTAGCATTTTGTGTGGGAAGGCGCCTCCAGGATATACGCCATAAATCGATGTATTTCAGGGTCTTACGCTGGGACAAATTGGATAGTTGAAATTGCATTTTGGTATATTTGCAACCATACCAGTGCAGCATATCCTAATATTTTATTTGTTGATGAGTCCATTTCACTTATATTGTCCGACCTCAATTTACTGTCAAATATTACCCCTAGGGCTTTCAATGTCTGGGCTCTATCTAGATTAAACAAATAAGTCTATGTACTTTTTCACGTTGGTCGATTCATGTTTTTGATTTAAAACGGGTAACTAGAATTTTCTCAGTAAAAACCGCGTCGTTATCTTCACCAGTTATAAAGTTTTTTCGCAAGTTTGTGACCCTACCACTCTTTACGTAATATTCAAATCATATTATTATTAAAATACACACTTTTCGACATACAATTTAGCCGCCTTATCTTAATCGTTGACCTACCCTGGCATAATAAGGGCTTATTAATTAATATCATTGGAGGTACTAAACAGAATGCAAGGTATCCCTCGTTATCTTAATCTGCCGTGCTAGAGTAAATCCTCAAAATCCCCTAATGGAATCATCTCCTAATATCAGCATAAAATCAATGCATGGCTGGACCGCTTTACATTGGCTGAACATGCCCGATGTCTTTAATTTGAAATCTGTGATTCAAAACAAACATTCAAAAAGCAGATTCAAACAAACCTGTTATACTTCGCCTGAATCGACTGAAGTTCACTCTCCAGGCTCGTAATTTTCTGTTTGTACTCCCGTACTAACGAACTACTGCTGGGTGCCGATTCCACTTGTTTATTTTTCACCTCGTCCAATTGAGCTTCCAGCTTCAGCACCGTCTGATTCAATGTCCTGTTCTGTTGCTGAAGCTTCTCTATGCGGCTTAGCGCGCTGTCCAGCTGGATTTGTTTGCCTTCGATCTCCTGGCTCTGGCTCCTGAGAGTCTTGTTCTCCTTCTCCAGGAACCTAAGGCGCTCTTTGAGGTCTGCCGGGGTCAGTTCCTGGGACATTGCGGCTCCTGATTCGCCCTTAGGGTCTAGCCGAAGTTCTTCGTTTTCCTCGCGCAGCGAGTCTCTTTCCAGGAGAAGCCTAGAAAAAATGCTCGTCAGGAAAAATCTGATAAAAGTAAGGATATATATCCTGTAGTTTCGCAGACGTAGATTTTGGTTTTATCGTTGCAAAACTTTTCGTCAACACGTTCAGCAGTATGAGCGCTGTAATTATACTTAAGTCAGTATTTGCCCTCTTTTAAATACAGAGATGGAGATGCGTGGCCCAAATCTAATGACGTTAGCCAGGTCAAAAGTTGACACGAGCTCCATAACTTATTTATTACAATCGCGGTACACTCTAGTATTTTATATAATTCCGGTAGATCTAACATACCTTTCTTTCTCTCCTTGCAAAGTTCCCATCTTCGCCTTCAACTTTTCCAAATTGAAATAAGCTTTGTCAGCCTTTTGCGTTTCTTCATCTAGTTTCTGCTGAAGTTCAACTACTTGAGTCTTATATGCGTCACATTGCGCCTTCCATGTATTATTCTTCGCTAATTCCTCTTCCAATTCAAGATTCTTCTGTAGATACTCCATATTCTGCTCTTCAAGCTTTTGCAGATTACGCTTAATGTCCTGATAGTTCTCTAATCGCTTCTTGTATGAAGCAAGAGCTAATTCCAGTTCCACAACCTTTCCAGCAGACTCGGTTAAGGCATCTATTTCATCTTTCAGTCTACTCGAGTCACTGGCAGCTATTTGAAGCTCGTTTATTTTCTCTTGATACGCAAGCATCTGCTTTTCCTGCTCAAGCAACTTAGCTTTGAAGTCATCTCGAATAACTTCCGCCTTGAACAGCTCCTCTTTGAGCAACTCGATCTGTTTTCTGGCATGCTCCATCGGGTTCCGGGCATCTTTCTCAAGCAGCTGATGGTTTTGTGCTTGTAGCTCCTTGTTTTCATCTGTCAGATGTTGTATGTGTTGCTCCAAGCTTTGGATTTGGTGAGTTAGCTCTTCTTTTGCCTTATTTGCAGCTTCCAGATCGCTGACAAGCTTTAATACCCTATATAATGAAATAAGAGTGAGTATTCAAAAATAAAATGACAATTAAAAATCATAGCACTGTTAATCAAATTGTTTTTTGAATAAAGGGTCATGTATGTACACCTGTGTTACATTATGGTTGCTTACTTTGGAAGATATACCTTTTCAAGAGGTCAATGACATTGAGATTAGCACTAAATTTTAATCAATGCAGTCTATGACATCATGGTTTATATTAATTTTGTAACATTTTACATGTTATGTGATGTGTTCAGTCCCATTAACCTTGAGAAAAAAATTAAATATCATAAAATGACAGTCTTAACTGAAAATAGCTAAGCAGTTTTACTAATTATTTAATATTCTTACCAATCATTAGAATGCATTTCCCCAATATATGAATGTGGACAAGCAAGACAATAAATGAATATTACTCTGAACAATGAAAAAATAATACCATGTTACTGCTATTTTTATCTTTATACATAATATACCTTTCATAAATACATAAATACTCTATATACATTTAAATTATGTCATAACAATACCCACTACAGATTGTAGATATTACTTGGTAATATTCTTTCAACATATACATAGAAGGTGAATGTAAACAGCAGATTATTTATCATTCAGACTAATTTTTGTGACTAATCTTGTTATGACTATAACGCTACAACAAAACACATAATGCACCAGTGTAAAATAAGGGTTTGAATGTATTGAGCGCAGCATCTTTATGAATAAATACGACATATTATGTTCTATATTATAAATTCCCTATATGAGGGTTACCTAACAATATGGTTTTTACATTACACATTACAAGCAACATTACACTCTTTAAATATCACAAAGAGTATGAAATTATTTATTTATTTAATTATGCCACCCAATAGCATGGCATAAACAATGAGATACAATTAAAATTCCATATAGAATATGCACATACACACAAATAACAGTAATGTGGTCTAAATAGCTGAATTTCTAAAGCTAGTGTATATATTCATACCATTTGTATCTCATAAAATCTAATAATACATGTAGTAATGATATTTGATGATGGAGTAGATACATTTTTCTTACCTTGTGTCACTATCCAATATCAACAAACTCAAGCCAGAACGTCCAGGCCCACCAGTGACTTCTTCGAGTTGCTGAATGGCTTGCATTATGTTTTGTTGGACAGATACTTCCATTTCCATGATCATAGTTATGTAATCTTGTTTTCTCTCACAATTTATTGCACATCCTATAATAAATAATGTGCTGGGGCTAATACATTTATACCAATGTCTTTTTTGATGTGCAGTCAGTTGAAACAAAACTTCAGCTGGCTAATGGGTAGATGCAGCATGCTAGGATGACTATAATAGCATGCCCTTGGTAATAAAAAGTATAGCACTGAATCAGTTCAGCACAATTCAACTATATAATCTTCGGCACACATGTGCACAATCTGAGCAAAAATCTTTGGCCCCTTAAGAGAGACATCATGTGTCACTATTGATCAATATGTTCTCAAAGTTGTGAAATATGTTAACCAGTGGTGTGCCAGACTGCCAGATTTCCATCAACATGTGATGCTTAAGCAATGCCTAACTAATCTGGCCCAGCTTTTCATACTTGATATTCTTTAAGTCTACTGCACCTGATAATGAATTTGGTATATAACCAGCTTTTCAATAAAAAAAGTCTTAATAAGTAAAATATGCCTACAAAATACAGTACTGGAACAGAAATTCTTAGAATCTTAAAAAACTTGCATCTGACAATAAATATTAGTTTGTAAAAGCGCTTCTGAATAGGCAATATTTGTTCCTTATAGAGGCCAGCATCACTGGCTACAATAGCAGCTAGGTTATACATACAAAAGATACGAGATTAGTTAAGCAAATGATTCTTGGTAAAATCTAGGTCTTATTGCTATTTCATGCTCCATGAAGACTTCTGCACTCCTCTACATAATGTGATGTATTTATTCCAACTTTTACTTACCTAGTATTAATCTCAATAGTTTACCCAATTGCACGACATCGTTAGTCTCCCCAATTTTTCCAACATCTGGGCGACCTATTTCCAATATTTGCAATGTGAGTACATCTTGATAATACTCAAGCACAGCTTCGACGATCTTTTTCAGATTACTAACTCGTAATCTCCAATTATTAGCACCAACATCTCGCTTGATTTTCGTGTCCAATTTGTTGAAATGTTCAGGAGAAATTTGTAACAGCGCGTCTACCATTGCTACTCCATCGCATATCTCTGAAACTGTTCTCGTCCGATTAGGTTGGATTTTCTGTAACCATTTCACCAGGCTTTTGCACATTTCGTCACAGGGATCCATCGTGGAAGCTGTTGAGGACATGTTTTTTTGTTCCGTTTGCTAATTAGTGGTCACAATAAATCATCACTGATAAATTATAATCTCCTGTTTATCAACTTTCATTTGACGTTTGCATAACCTACAAAATCATAGCTACAGAACACTAACAGAAGAGACTGACAGAATCGACAGATCGCCAAGACGGAAATAAAATATGCTGGGTTCGGCACCCTAAAGCGCTCCATACACAACATCATTTGTGCGGACAAACCAACAAGTAGATGATCAAACGAACTTACGCACTTACACTAAGTGATGTTCACTCCTAATTATGTGAAGGTCGAAGTAAATACTACTTGTAGTACCTACCTTCGTAGCTCACCAAACCCACGAGCTCAAACCGGGCGCGCAGCGGAGGAAAGAGGCAAAGCCAAGTTATTGCAACTATTGGGTGATACATAGGGAGGAAGGGAGCTATTTACTTCCACGAAACAGACCTTCACATAATTAGAATCGAACATCACTTACAGGTAAGTTCGTTCTATCATGCAATTATGATCCGGTCTCGTCCAAGTAAATACTACTTGTACATGTTCAAAGCGTGTTTCAACAGCATACTTCTAAAGCTCTGCAATAGTAAACGATAGATTGTACACAACTACACAAATTGTACGCAATGTATGTGTCAACTAAATGTACATTTCCATTGTAACAACTCTAGTTAGGGTTTTTAACAACAGGTAATATCATGTGCATATGTTCACAAATTCCATCCGTTACATGTTAACAAGTAAATAAGATAATAACATAGTTATGTTAAAGGCGTGGAGACTTGGTTCACTTCAAATGCCACTTGAGCAAAGCTATTGTTTCTGTTAATTGTGACACAAAGTTACTTCACAGAGAAAAATAAATAGTTTGACTGCACAGATATTTGGACGTAAAATACGTTAAAACTAAAAGTGGTGCCACAAGAGTAGCCGTCGGTTTGGTGGGCAACGAGAGTACTACAAGTAGTATTTACTTCGACAAGACCGGAACATAATTTCCCAACTTCCTCAAAAAACATTGAACCTGCCCTTTTATAGAATCACAAGGAACACCTTATTTTAACAACTTATCTGAAATTGACTACCGAAGACCCGCTTTGCACCTTGTTTCGAATACCTAATATCGGATGCATAGGCCATACTACTATCGGTAACATTAATTTGTGAACAAAGTTGTCTGTTTTCGTTATAAATCCGCGGCAACCAGGACCGTCTTAAGCTGTGTAGCCCCATGGTAAATATGCACATTTTTGAGCCCAACCGGATTCCCAGAAGGGCTACGGCCGACTGCTACAGCTCCGTGTAACGACAACCTTGATTCTGCTCACAAATGTGTCAACCAAAAATGTATATGTATAGCGTCCAGTCGGTTTACTCTGCGCTTCCCAAGCTGTGGCGCTGTTCTAAAAGTGTGCAATAAATCAGTACTGTTTTTTTGTAATATTTTATTCAGTATTTGTTTTGTACTAAACAGTAAAAGTTGATCTATTATAAAAAGGGAGCGCTTAAAAATTATTGTCAAAGCCCACGTATTTACTCTAAAAACGCCTTACACAGTTGAATATATATCTCATAAGAACATCACATTATTTCTGGCAGACCAGCTGCAGTTTGTTCATTATGGGTAAAGTCTTACCATCAATATTGGCGTTCAACGTTTGTGCACCTTCCATTAGGTTTCAGCACAAAATACTTTTTTAGGTACTTATTATCCGGTATATACCAATATTAATGGTAACAGAACTATTTGCATCTATCTAACAATATATTTTTACAAGTAGAGTCGCTTTGGTGGCATTTTTCAATTGAGCAGGATATAGATACATTATGAAACAATGAGAGCATGTAAGGCTATATGCATTATAGTCACTAATACGGTAGCGCCTTAGTAAAGCTGGGACGTTGAGCGGCGAGGGGACGCTTTGCAGAGTCGTCGTATAGGCAACCAGTTACGCAACCATGTGTAAGCGGCGTTATCTAAATAAAGGTTAGGCCGAGAATCGCCTGAATGTACCGGCGGCAGCAGTCTACTGCCATAGAAGTCACGCTTCGGACTGGAATACGCCCGAATGGCTCTCGACTCGTCGATAGAGGAATAAATACAGTCGAACCAGTGGACCGCGATCGCAGATTAAGATGGTATAATAGTCCAGTCGACATAGTTGTACAATGGTTGCAAATGTTATAAATTAGTGTGGCAGTAATAAATTAGACTTTGAACAGTAAAATGGTGTTTTCGTTACAATACTCCACAGATAGGATGATTTACTTGTAATCTGCTTCCTTTTTTTCCGGTTTATGCACTAGCAATACATTATCCTTTGAAATCATCCGTTTTCGCCTAGGTAATAGTTAGACACAGGTACCAAAGAACCTGATCAATAAAAAATGTCACACATTGATACATAACATTAGTAAAGCTTTTATGTTTGACAGTAAAGTGAATCTGAATAAGCCAAAATGATTAATTAAGTTCGAGGCTCTTACCAAATTTCGTATCTCTTAAGTAGCTCTGCCGTTAAGAAGAACATTACATTGCATCAAAATGTATTTTAAATACATTAGATGGCTATGCTTAAACATGTAATTCATTCATGCCACTTCGCTTCAAGAGATTTCTGTTAAAGCAGGACAGTGTTTGAGGATACGTTATTACTACTATTTTTATAGCGATGCCTTCTAAGGTTCATCAAACATCTTCAATTCTACAAGATATCTGTACAGTGGTTTAAGTATTTCATGACAACGCCTAGTTATAGTGATTTCTTTTTACTAATATTTACTACTTCGGCTGAATCTCTCTATTTATTATTGTATTACTTATTTGAAATGGGAAAGTGGAAATAAACCATTTTTTTAAATCTGTGCTATAAGAGCTTATACAAAATGTTTAGAATGTCATATTTGCTGATTCTATCTGAAGACAATTATTGTTTATATGCTGTATTAAGGATTGAGCTTTACGGAACGTGTCTTCTGCGATGAAGCCTGTACAACAGAATTGGCGGATACGTAAGCACACCCGAGAGCTTTGGACATCAAAAAATCATTAGGACTGTGCATTGGCGCCCGTAGGAAGTTGTCATCAACCAGAGATATCTTTTTGTGAAGGTGCAGCGGGGAGGGTTGCAAATCATACAAATACCAAAAATGTTACACAAAATTATGTTAAATGTGCAAATTTTAAGACCAGCACACCCTCCCCTGTGAGAGCCCAAGGCTTTGTCCTCGCATACCTATGGAGATTCGGATTTTGATTTTTTCCGTAGATCATTTGAGTACAAAGTTCGCAGGTTGTTCAAATAGGCATGCAATCTTTATATTTATAACCAACCAACGAAATAGCCCCAAGAAATGTGTAAATTTTTAATTACACTTCATTTCTATTCAATTTTATAACCAAAATTAAGGATCCATCACAGAAAAGCTGATCTTCCAAACGGGCAAAATGCGCTGTCTAAAGCTATTAAGGTACGTTAATTATCTTATTGGCTATATTTGCTAAAGCTTCTAAGTAGCACCTAATTGTTGTTATACATAGCTTTTATAGTAGTCAAGGTAGACTCATATTGTCTATAATATATTGTCAATCAGTTTATTACAAAGCAGTGGTTTGTTGGTAACGTGGACCACATATTTCCAAATAATTCTAGCTGTATGGGTTTGAATTGTGAGTGAATGAAGTCTTTAGTGGGCTTGTACTTCGTAAACAGATATGCTATAAACTATTTAAAAGAAATCTGATTCGTAATGTTCTGTTATCCTCGGCGGATAAAAAAAATTGTAGATGCTTTGATGAAAACCGAGTAAAATCTCGACCCGATTGAAAATATATAGTTACTCATTCTGTTTTCTTTAATATGATGCATTTCTCAGGAAGAAGCTTCAGAGCACTCACGCAAAAAACCCACTTACACCTACGTTTGAATAATCTAGAGGTATTTCGATTTAAAGCCAAAGTGTTTAGTTTGTTTAAAGTATACTTTTTAATATACATGGCTTATAATAATAATAAAAAAGATAAACTTTCGCACAATTATGATTGTTCAATATGTTCTGATGGTCTTTACTTCCTTCCCAAAAATATAACGGCGGTTATGTGCTATAATTTTACTATTTGTAATAAATAGATAGGACCTTCCTAGATTTTTTGCTGATGTTTAACTGTATATAGTACGGGAAATAACTATTTGCATCTTCCTACTGTGACATTTGTTCAATAGTTTATTAGAAAGATATGATATCAATGATATTTTATTTCCGTTCGATATGTTCCGAGGCTTGAAATCGTTCTTATTTATAACAAAAAACTTCCAATAAAACAACTTCATTCAGGGTTGCCAGGTTTAGCAATTTTAAGATTATACCAAATATATTATCAAACACGAGGGAGGATTCTTTATAAGATGTTGTCATCTCTTTGTTGATACAACAAATTTCCCAGAGACGGTTGTAATCAGGATACTAGACTTTGACGAATATTTAGCTGCGTATCAGAATTTTCCGACATTTCTCTAGAAATTTTGAGATACACTTTTGGGTTTTTTTGACAGTGAAATATTCTCCTTCCTGTAACATTTGTCCATTCCTTATAGGTACTAGATTTATGCCCTCACTTCAAGTTCAAAACAAACAAATGACAATTGGCGATTTTGGCTGCTTTTTCTATCCAGCCTGTCGACGCCATCTTCGTCGAACCTGGCAACCCTGACTCCATTGTTGTACATTTTTTATCTTGTCCAGTAGATTATGCTGAGACGCCTTGTTTTTCTCATATAACTATGTATATAATTTATTGTCATTAATCATGTTGGAAGCATTGTTGAGGAGCATCTCTTGTAAGATGAAATGCTATATTATTGTCATTTTTTCGCATTCTAGGCGATACTTGTCATACAACGTGAAACAAACCAAAGAAAATCTCAACCTACACTACTAATCTATAATTGACGTGATCCTAAAAATCTCAAATAATTTTTTTACAAACATTTCTTCATACGTATAGAGAGTAGACAACTTGCCACGTATATCAATGACAGCTTTTCATTTATTGACTGCTGAGATGTACTCTAGATACGTGTTATAATTTTGGGCACTGGTTCTCAAAAAACACCTTTAA